ATTAATAATTTTATAATTACAGGTTTAGTAAGATATTCATGTTTTCCTGATACCAAACTTTTCCCGTAAATAGAACCCATTCGTCTAGACAAATTACCTAAGAAATATTAAAAATATTTACATTTTTGTTTTAATTATCCAGTTTTTAAGAACATTTTTTTATTTAAAATCTAAAACTTTTCAAATAACACATGACATAATATTTATCGGCATGTCAGTAAAGAGTACAATTTTGTTAGAAGCTAGTTTCAGAGACTAAACAATAAGATAATAAGTGATTTTAATGATAATAATGAAATATACTTAGATCTCAAATTGNGTGATTTTAATGATAATAATGAAATATACTTAGATCTCAAATTGTAAGAAATTATTTTCCAGTACACGATGTAATATCAATTTTATCCACATAAGTATAACTTTTAAAAAAATTCATGGATAATATATTGGTTCCTATATTTTAGATACCTTTTTTAAAAAACTTATGTATAACTCTCCCTCTCTCTGATATTTTTAGTTAACAAGAATACCCGTTGAAGACAAGAAGAAACGGGCGACCAAAAATTAGTTTCGCATTAAAAATAATGCTTTTTTAATAAATAAAATTTTTTTTTAGTATTTTTTAAATGTCCCATAAATATGGTTAAATTAATACTTATAAGAAAAAACGGTAGCATAATGTGGTCGCAGCATTGTATAAAAGAGGCATATTTGGGACAAGTATACATGATATCTGACAATGATTTTAATCACTATCATGAGAAACGCTTTGTTACATATCTGTCGATACTGTTTAATTTAAAAAAATTGGTGGATTATTCCAAAAGCAAAATTATCTCCTATTTCTTTCATTATTCTTAATTAGTAGTTTTATGATTTATAAGTATAATATATATAATTAAATATCTATTATAGCAAATTAATATAATATTTTAGCTTCGTATCAAAGCGAAAATAGGGTCACAAAATATAATTACTTTGTTTACCCCTAAAAATTACTTTATAGGTGTTTCTGTTGGTAGGATTAATAAAACATTATAAATACGAAACCTGGAATTTTTATATTATTACGCAACTTAATTTATATAAAAATACATTTTCTGATATGTATACAATTGTTCTTAAAAATAAAAATGCATTTTTTCAAAACACAATTAATATGTGTGTAGTACTTATAATGGTAGCATCACATAAATAATTTTTAAGTGTTTCTTTGTAATTTGATGCTATTAATAATCTAAATGTTAATTTATATTTAACGTCAATAAATCTCGAACTTTTTATTTAAGTGGTTTTAATGTAAAAATAACCCAGCACAGTGAGGATGTGGCATAGTTGAGTCAAGTATAATGATATCTGACAGTGATTAAAATCACAATCATAAAAAATGCTTCGATGTAAATCTATAGATAGTGTTTAATTTTAAAAAAATGGTGGATTATTCCAAAAGCTACATGATCTGCTATTTCCTTATTTATATCCTGATTACAAGTTTTATGATTTATAAATGTAATATATGAATAAATAAATATCTATGTATATTTATAATATATAAATATATGTAGAGGGGATTGGTGTTATTTAAAAAAAAAGTATGTCGAATAAAAGAGGGACATAAATATTATTTCACATAAAAAAATTGTAATGTTCCCCATACACTCTTCAATAAGTTATAGCATAATAAAGTTAAAAATGTAAAAAATAAAATTGAGAATTTTCACACAAAAATAGCATTTGGTAACTATTTTTTCCATGAAGACAAAATAAAGTCCAACATTTTTTTTTAATAATAAAGCATATTACATTATATTTAATTTAAGATATATATAAAAGTGTCAGAGTTTCCAGAACACTTTCAACAGTGAAGTTGAAAAAGTTAATTTTTTGTGAAAAAGTTATCATTTTAAATTCCCACTCTGTGGACGGGTAAAGGGTAAGATTTAAAGGTAAAGACATAATTTATCCATAAAAAAAAATTATATCGATATAATCATTATTGAAAAAGTTATGGCAGTTTTAAGTAAAAAAAATTTTAAAAATTTTGAAAATTAGCGATTTTTAAATTTGTAATTTTTTTGGATATTTCCTCCATTTACGGGGAACGAGGGAAATTTTTTCAATTTTTGATGGTAATGTCTTCGACTAGATACAATTTTTGATCTTTTGACTTTAGTTGAAATAAATCGGATCGGCGAGAGCTGAGTAAAAGTGATAACAGACAAAAAAAAAAGAAAAATGAAAAAAAATAAAC